TAATGCAGATCACCTACCACCTTTCATGCCAGAGTTTTAAACTAATAACATCTTATTTAGAGGAATAACCAATTGGTACCCGTTCGGTCAAAGAAAACAATGTTTTGCACAATCTTAGGTGTCACGTGTAGAGGTACATCCAGGGATTATTTCTAGAAAGCTTCATTAAACCCATAAAATGTTTTGCAATAGACAGAGAGTTTACTTCAAATAGTTAAATAAAAAACACTTAAAACAAAGATCTTGCGCAATCTCTTATCAAAATATGTGTGAGATTCAACTACTACCACACCAAATTGTAGGTCAGTATTTGACCTCCAGTGATTACTTTCTGCATGTTTCTGCGTGGTAACAGAGAGAAATGTGCACGCACAGACACTGGACAAATAATTATTGCCCACTTTTGCCTTCCTGTGGCAGGCGATAATAATAATAATAATAAAAAAAAATTAAAGCTTCATTATTTTTCCTATATGCTTTTCTCAATGCCAAAAGAACAAGCTATGCCGTCTGGTAATCAATGAAACCCTGAATTGGCTTTAAAGTGAATAATATCTGAATTACTGAATAACAAATCTGAAACAAATTGATGAAGTTAATACAGTAATGCTATATATAATATACCTGAAAAAAAGCTTAGTAGCGATAAATTCAAAATGTTGATGAATTTTAAATCCTTCACAAACTATATTTCTAAAACCGTCATCTAACCTGGTATTGAAGTCATGCCAGCTGTGAGGAAAAAGGTGGGTGTGGCAGCATATGTCAGTAGCTACCACTCCACCTGCTGTCGCTTAAACACCAGTTAGGCAATAACCAAGTTTCCTTGGAAGTTAAGCATTACCCAGCTCCATTAAATCATTGCAAATACCACACTTTGAAATGTTAAAGATTTTTAAAAATCATTACATTCTTTTACTCACATTTTAGCATGCATCTCAACAACGTTGGAAACCGGATTAGTTCAACTTTAGAAGGAAACCAGTTCTAGTCCAATCCACCACTGATGATCACAATATATTTGGGGAGTTTTTTGTGGTCTGCCATGTTTTATTTTCGTTTTAAGTATGTATGTGTATGTTGTGGTAGTCTGCCTGCACTGTTAAGTGGACTTATTCTGAATGTGTACCATTGAGCAGTCAGATCATGGGTCTATTTGTTGGACTGGTAACTAGGGCAAAGGTGGTGAGTTAAATATAGAGGGAAGGCCCAGTTGCCTTCTCAGCAACAGCAAAGGGCTCACTATAGTAAGGGGTTGTGGATGACTGTGCCAGACAGTAACTAGGCATCATCATAACACTGTTTGCAGAATCAAGCTCCAGCTGTCCTTATGTGACCTGTAGTTGAAAACTATCTGCACAGGATTTGTTCATTCAACCTTTATTTATACAGGCTAGCCTCATTGAGCCACGGGGACTCATTTACAAGAGGGACCTGTTCCAGACAGAACATATAAAGTACAGACAACAAAACAGTAGACAACAACAACAACAATAAACTACAGTAAAAATGCAGTTAAAATAAGATTAGTGTACAATATAGTACACAGTAGTGTATACATTTCATACTGTATATCCATATAATATTTAGCTGTAGCTTGGCTAACTACTGTGAATTGAATGCTAATCATCTACAAACCTAAACACACAATACACTGTCACACAGTTGGACGGACTTTGCTTTTTCCTTTCTTTCTCTTTGAGCTTGTTGTTCTTCTTGCTCCTTGGTTTGGCTCGAAGCAGTAGACTCAGTATGTGCCTGGACCTGGCATGTTGACTTTAGTTGGCCCATGTGTTCTGCTGCTGCCAGAGAGGTGTGTTCTTGGCCCCGGTCAAGGCCAATACAAATTCAGGGAGGAAGGAAGGTAAGTGGGTGTGTGTTGAGTGTGTGGGTGTGAGCGATTGAGTGTATGGTTTTGTTTGTGCATGTACTTAAGTGTGTCAATGCTACACGACATACATACACATGCATACGCAAATTCAGTAAAAGCGGATTAAGACTTCCCATTTGCCAGTTGAAGTACGGTAACTGTTTCAGAAAACACAGCTTTAATGGTATCGCCTTACAAAACAGCATAGTTACCACATAGTTTGCGTTTCATATGTTCGTGTGACCCTCATGTTTATCCCATTGTTAAATGTACGTCATGCTGTGAGTGCACCGCATATAGGCTAAATTGAAATTTTGTAAACATCTAGATTTAGAGAGCTAAAATTATAATAAAAAATAAAAACCCACTGCCCTCCCAAATCCAAATATACATCGTTCACACACAGAGCAGCTTTGTTTAAAGCTCCCCTTTTGCCTCTTTCTGTATGCTAAAAAAAGGCAAGCCCAGTTGCTGCAAAATTAAGCTTGTTATAAGAATATACAGACTTTTTACTGTGCCCAGCATAGTTTTTTCTTTCCCTGTTTCTCAGTCCAATCAACTTAAAGACTTCTAAATTGTTTTTCAGGCAGGTGTGAAGAGATATAAAGATCAAACTGTGTCATTTAGACTATCTGCAGTGATGGGGTGTTTATTGGACTGAGCAATAAACAGCAATGGCAGGGCTGTTATTTGTCTAGGTTGTTTTTATGGTAGATGTCGGCTATCTGGTGCAAACACTGATATCAAAATCATACCAAGAACAGCAAAAAATAAGCTTCATTGCTGTCGGTATGAGTAAAAGAAAGTCTATCAGTGATTGGCCCTGTGTAAAAAGATGTTTTAAAACATGCCCATGTGTTGTTTTGCTCATCACATGCACAAACACACAAAAATCTACACCAGATGTAGTAAAACTTTAGTCACTATGAAGTTTCACAGTTGTTCTGGGAAGAAGAGGAAGGAAAATGCTCAATGTCAGGAAATCAGGCTGGGTTGAAAGGGTGGGTGTTAATGGGGGTCTGGTGTGGGTTGGTATCTGTTTTTTTTATGCACGTGTGTGTATTTTAACATTTAAACTGTAGCTGGCTTCAACTCAAAACCTAGCTGTCTTTCCAGATTTTCTCCCCTTAATTCGTTGCACCTGTAGATGCATGAACACAGCAAAGGGCAGATGTGGATGGCAGTTTGTGATAAGCTTTTAGTAAATCACACCATTTACAATCCAGACACAATCCGTAAAACCTTAAACATTTTTTATCTCCACATTCAAGCTGATTCTCTACGTTGGCATTAAAATAAAACAAGCAGAACAACACAGTTATCAAGAAACAGACTGAGCTTCATAAATCATAGCTTGTGTCCTCAGTTGGCCCTGCTTAGCGTTGAAAACAAGGCTAACGACTGAAACAGGACACAACTAATCTTGTTATCTCTTTATCTCCTGTCCAGACTGTGCGTACGTGTGTGATCATGTTTGTCTGTAGTGTGTGTGTGTTATCCACCTTTCTTCTGCATGTTTTAGCAGTGGTAATATTATTTTCTGCATTTTGTGATGCAGTCAGTTTGTAATTATGCACAACATTTTTTTTCCATTTGTCCACATTGTCTTCAGAACATACCAACACACACAGAGAGACCTTCTAACTTCTCTTGTGAGATGTTGGAGTGAAAACCAACATATTTTAGTGAAGATCACTGTGGAGTGCACAGACTGCCTCTTTGAGAGATATCTAGCACATTCCGTTGTGATCTGTTTGCTCCCCGTCCACCACATTCTCATCAGCGTGGGAGCTCAGCCACTTATTGAACTTTATTTTTTTCCCTTGTTTATAATGTTTGAGAAAAGTAGTCATTTGTGTGTGTGTGTTGTGCATGGGTACTGGCTTTCAGAGTTGAACCAAACTTCACTGCGTGTTTGTTGACTCCTGAGTAAAGTTTTTTTTTTAAAGCTAATTGTGTGTGTGTGCACGCGCACGCATGCCTTAAAACTTACTGTGGAGCTGTGCCAGGGTTTAGGGCTTAGCCAGAGAATGCCTCAAACCAGTTTACTCTGGTTGAGTAGTGGAGAAGTCTGGGGGCGGGACAAGACCTCTTAAAGCTCCAGGCGTCCTTTCTCTTTGGTTATGAGCTGGAGATTTTGGTGCATCTGGATCTGGATCTGTGTTTAATCATGCATACACACAAGACTGTTTTATACCTACATTGCTGTATTAAGTTTGACAGGTTGTATTTTTTACCACTTAACATAATATTTTAAATCCTATTATGTCTGTGAACATATGTAAACATACGTACACACATGTGTGGATGAGATCTCGGCTCTGCCTTTCATAATTTTCCCCACATTTGTCTTTCAAGGACAGCAGGAACAGAGGTGATGATTGCCAAACCAAAGCAATTGAATGTGTGTGTTTGTGTGTGTGTGTGTGTGTGTGTGTGTGTGTGTGTGTGTGTGTGTGT